ATGCACGCCTGACCATAGTATACACAATGTAGTATGTTAGTCAAGACTAAACGTGGATATGCCGATTTCATTGTAATATAGATTCACACGTGCATAAACATGGTCACTGCAGACACATCAACACAGTTGACACTCAGCAATGCAGTACGTCACGCAAGTCATGCACGTGTATATAACAACAATATGATAAAACTACACCCACCTTTCTCAGAAATGAGAAATAATGAGAAAGCTAGTGCGGAGTCATTGCTTCCTCTTCGCAGCTACCGGTAAGTGATCAGTCTAGTAATCAGCCTATGCAGTGCCCTCAACAACTGATTTCCCAGGCGCCAGTGAGTAAAAATGTATATAATTATTATCAGAAGTAGATAATAGGGAACTATTCTCTATTCTAACTTCCCTATTGTCTACTTCTGTTATTATGAATAATTCGATTGTACATATTAGGCTGTTTCGTTCTGTGTTACAACATGGAGCGTACTCTAAGACACAGAGGGCAAGGCTAGACCGTTAGTGCTTCTACCCTGCTACCAAAGGGATGAAATACTTCCTACCGCCACGCACTGTATCTCAGCTACTCGCTACGTGCCGAGCGGATTATATATTATTCCTATGTGACTTATACAGCAGCGATTAATACTCAAAATAGTGAGGTCGCTAACCAACTCGCATTGGTATTGAATCCAGAGAGACATGATACAAGATTGCGATGCACAGCTTTGCTGTTGATCCTGAGCACTGCACGCGGATGAGACTCGCAGTTCCGCGGGATATGCGCACGCGACCGCGGAGATGTTCAAGTATGAAGCGCTGTCCGCAGTGGAGACGTGCGCCAAATTCGAGGCCCGGCGTACGTCTCCACAGAGGTCAGCGGATTGTCTGTAGTTTTAGAAGATAACAATGATAACTTTGTTCTAAATAAGAACTCTCGGCGGCTATATAAAAGCAATATACAGACCTTTGAATTTCTTGACTAGTCAGTCAAAGGGCTTGTTGGGGGTCCATTAGGCAGAGCTTCCAATTGAAATGGCCCATGAAATTGTCAAGTGGAATTAAAGGAACAGTAGCCTCTAGGTTCTAGGGTTATTTTCAGCTAATTTAGGTTATAATTGCGCTACATAAAAAGTTTCATGGTTCAATCACCATTAGAAATATTTTTTTTAAATGTTTTAAAACTAACGACTACAGTTTGATTAAAACGACGGTGGCGCCACTCAAAACTATATTTGTGTGATTATAATAATGATGATATATAATATGTGTAACTCTCACATTAAAGATATCATATTTGTGTTGTTATAATATTAATGGTATAAAATATGTGTGACTCTCACATTAAAGAGATAATATTTGTGGTTATAATTAATATTAATAATATATGTATTACTTCGATATTAACGACACGATATTTCTGTGATTGCCGTATTATTGATATACAATATGCATGCCCTTCGAATTAAAGTTACAGTTTTAGTGTGATTACAATGCTGGTGATCTACAATGTGTACATATAAGCCTTTCATAGTTGTAATACATTAGCGATTTAAGTTACAACATCCGTGTTATTATTATATTAACAATCTAGAATTTGCGTTATTTTGTGCCTTTTAAAGTTGCCTTATATGCGCCTTATATAATTTTTTATGAAGCTTTATAATGATTTTTATTAACTATAAATATGATCTGTGTGACATTTACATTAAAGTCAAGATATATGTGTTATTATAATATTAATTATGAATAATGTCTTCATATTAATGTAACAATATATCTGTGATTATAGTATGAATGAAATATTATCCGTTTGACTATAATTCCTACTAAACCTACAATATGTGTGAAATAATTAGACGGTTTTAAATCGACTAGGCCTACATCGTGAAATCTGCAAGGTGTGTATTACTGAAAGAAAACTATTCGTTTTATTAATTTAATGAGAAAGGCAACTACAAAAACGGGCTATAAAATACATCGTGAAATTTTTAGTTGGTAGGCTTAATTAAGACTGTTAAAGTTAAAATACAAAATACGCAGTTTGACTCGTTTCGAGCACGACCACCGTGAGCTATCTAAGAATCGTGAATGTAAACTCTATTTCATGGAGCAATTATTATATTTTTTAGTACCGCATGCCATGACATAATCACTTGAATACTTGGCTATCATAATTATCACTGATACACGATTTGACTCTCACAGCTTGAAAAATAACCCAATGTTTGTTGGCGCGTGCTGCCATCTATATGCAGGGGTACATGTGTATGTTTACAGACATTTTATTAGAACCCCTCACTGATCTCTATTATACTAACGTTAGTACACAGAGATCAGTAGAATCCCGTAGTTGATTGCTGTGAACATGCATTTCTTAGATTTTCGTATTTCAGTGTAATATGAAATGATGAATTATGACAATTCTCTGTTTCAGAAGCATATACATGGTTTTACCTCTGGTTTTACATATGTAAGCTCGCTACATTTTTTAACACGTAAATCTATCGTAAGTATGTGATCATGTTAAAATTACCCTTACAAGTTGATCGAAATTAGAACCACACATATTTCAGTATCCGCCTTAAATTGATATATGAAGTCAGTCGACTTTTGCTTATGTTTGATCTATGAATAAACAAAAGTAAAAAGGGGAAAAAAATCCTTTAGTGCATTAATTGCTGAACCATCATTACATCTATTACCTCTATGTTATCTATTATTAAGAACGGTTTCATTCATGTTTGTACTCAAAAGCATAAATATTGTGACTTTAGCATAAAACCTCCATAGCATGCATCTTTTAAATGGTTTGTGTTTAGGCTGAAATAAACGTTTGGTGTTTACTCACAAGCCCTACCTTTGTTTACCTTGTTTTCACTCACACTGCGTTATTTTGTTCGACTCAATAACTGCACGCTAACTTGCTCAGTGACTGTGTGAATACGAGGGAGTTTTCGCTTCATATTGCGTTCTATTAGGGCCTACTTATTTAATCATTAACGTTATTTTAAGGGTATTTGCTTTTTCTGCATAGCATAAATGTATGTAAAATTTCATGCAAAACAATAAGGCTGCCGCCCTTTGATGCCCCCCCCCGACCCACCGGTTAGAGGATATACGGCCTTAGCGCGTGTTATAATCCTCACCTGCTAATTTTATCAATAGCATGGAATGTTAATTTTTTGTGCGTATTAATCAGTCAGTGTGAATGAATTCATCACATGCCTCGTTTTATTTCCGTGTGTTGCACGTACGCATATTGATTGATAAACCATAGCAATTAATGTATTCCACCTACGAAATCTTTATTCTATAGTTTTAGCATTGTAATGTGATTATATATGTTTTAGCAAGCGTGTTTTTCTCGCATGTAGGCCTACTATAAGCTGTATATTTCGTGATAATTTTTGCGAATTTTGCGAACGCGTTCCCGATCGCCGAAATAACAACATGCGAATAGTTCATACCGAATAATTCATAATTCACCGACCGCGAAATTAACCACTCGCGAAATTGTCCGTCAATTCACGAAAATATCTGTATCGCGAAAAATATGGCGTATGTGTCAGTTAGCTTTATCAGTTGCTACGGTTTTTGTTTACTGTCGCTTTTCACAGTCTTACCTAATTTTTTATTAATTCTTATTATTGCACTGATGGTGAGGATTGCTCGTCTTGAGCTCGTGTTGATATTGTACCGTCTTTATAATTCCTTCCCTTAAATAATAAATAAATAAATAATAGCCTTCTACTCGACCACATCGTTATTTAGCCAGCTCCTCGCATATTCGAGTCATTATTTTCAAGAATAATTATATCATTTCATTTTTATTAAATTTTATATAAATCCTTGCAATCGTGCGCGGTAGCCAACGGAAAACGTTACACCACCCAGGACAAAAGGTATCATTAACTTTAAGAGTAGAATTATTAACTTTTTAATGATTTGAGCATTAAAACTTAATAGCTGTATCATCAACTTGTCCAATGATTTGATTCTTAAAGATAATGATTTGAACATTAAAGTTAATGGTAATTTCGCCGCATTTAATAGTTTGATTCTTAAAGATAATGCGGGGTTTATTCTGATTACGGAGATGCGAAAATTCAACAGAAGGACGTAGCACAGTGCGCTAAACAGCGTGTTATTTTCGTATTTGTGGCAAACTCTATCGTAGGAAACCGTTCTAACATAGCAGAATACCCTAGTTCCTGATATCGGCGATTTGGTGGACCAATGGGTCCCCACCTTTAATTAAAAATATAAAAGACTGGTGCGGCGTAGGCTGTGATTTGAAGACACAAAGTGTCAATCCTTGGCGCGATTTTTGGTAAAAAGCATATCGAATATCTAAATTATTGAATCCGTGCCAGGTAGTTCAATGAGAGCCAGCAAGCATAGAGTAAAGAAACCGCGAGTCAACTGTGCTTACCTAGATAAATAAAAATGTTGAATATACTGAATCTACTGAAAGGTTAAATATAACCCTGAATTGTATTATTGTGAAAACCTATTTATCTGTGCATTAGTGAAATCTTCCTTCGTGCCTGTGCTAGCAGATTTAGGTAGTTCTATTCAAATATTTAATTGATATCAGCGCCTTGGCAACAGTTGCCCCTCTAACCAATTGTCGGAGAAATCGAACATAAATATTGCCATGTGTTCTTGACAACGAGATGTGGATCTATACCGGTTGGTAAGTCACGCAGCCAGCAATCAGGGCCGCAAAACGGCACCAGTAGCATTAGCGAATGCTTGCGACGCTTGCGTGGCTGTCTTGCACCATCTCTATCCACACTGTAACGCACAAGTGATTTATGTGCAAAGGGAACATAATCGCTGTTGAGTTAATACACTTCCTACCAGCCGTCGACACACCCTGGACACTGAGCAGCAAGCGCCAGTAACAGCCAAACCTTGTATTAGACGTCGACGAATCAAAGGCGGCCTCGCCGCACGTCAATCACGCGCTGGGCGGGGCGTATATCTCTGCCATCAATCGGGCGCTCATAGCATAGCCATGCAGTAGACAGCTGAACAGTTGCTCTTGTTTCCTCTATCTATTCTCTGTGAAACACGTTCCCGATTATTTCTCGCCGGCTATCATCGTACGCGGACTGCCGGCGGTACTGCTGCTCTGGACTGACGACCTAGGTCTCGACATTCGGAGTAGCCACGCAAGATCGTGCTCGATATACGAACAGACATGGTGGCCGCCGCCATATTCCGCCGATGTGCGCTCGTCGTTGTGTGCCTACTGGCTGTCGTGCAGCAGGGCAGCCGCACGATGGCCCAGGGTGAGGTTTTAACCAGGTTTACCGACCAGGTGCTCCCGCACCACGGCCGCTGTGAGCCCATCAGCATTCCTCTGTGCCAGGATCTCCCCTACAACGAGACGATCATGCCCAACCTTCTCAATCATCAGAAGCAGGAGGACGCCGGGCTGGAGGTGCACCAGTTCTTCCCGCTCGTCAAGGTGCGCTGTTCGCCCGACCTGAAGCTCTTCCTGTGCGCGATGTACGCGCCCGTCTGCACCGTTCTAGAGGACCCCCTTCCTCCCTGCCGCTCCCTCTGCGAGTCCGCACGTACCGGATGCGAGAGCCTCATGAACAAGTTCGGATTCCAGTGGCCGGAGTCGCTCGAATGCGCGAAGTTCCCGCTCGCCGGACTCTGCGTCGGACAGAACAACTCGGACACGTCCCCTACCGACTCGCCGGCGACGCGGCGGCCGCCCTACGACAAAGGTCGCGTGAACTTCCCTGTGAGCGCGTTCCCCGGCGCAGGAAACTCGCTGCCGGGGGGCGCCGGCATCGGCATCTTTCCGAACGGGACGCGCGTCGGCATCTCGCGCACGTTTGAGTTTCAGTGTCCGATCCAGCTGAAGGTGGAGAACCTCGAGTACAAGTTGATCGTCGGTGGCGGCGAACCGACACCGGACTGCGCTGCGCCCTGCTATGACCTGTTCTGGGACGCGAACCACCAGCGCGTATCGCGTCTCTGGATCGGCGTGTGGAGCATGATCTGCTGCGCGCTGTCGCTCTTCACCGTCCTCACGTTCCTCATCGACATGAGCCGCTTCCGCTACCCGGAGCGGCCCATCATCTTCCTCTCCGGCTGCTACTTCGTCATCGCCGTCGCCTACATCACGGGATTCTTCCTGAAGGATCGCATCTCGTGCAACGAGCGCATCGTGCCGCACAACATCCGCGACTACCGCTTCGACTCGAACTACGTGACGACGATCTGGACGGTGCCGACGATCGTTCAGGGCACGAAGAAGGAGGGCTGCACGATCCTCTTCATGATGCTCTACTTCTTCACGATGGCCAGCTCCATCTGGTGGGTGATTGTCACGCTGACGTGGTTCCTCTCGGCGGGCCTCAAGTGGAGCAACGAGGCGATCGAGCAGAACTCGCACTTCTTCCATCTCGTCGCGTGGGCGATCCCGGCCGTCAAGACGATCACGATCCTCGCGATGGGCAAGATTGACGGCGACGTGCTGTCGGGCGTCTGCTACGTCGGCCTGTCGAGCGTCAACGCGCTGCGCGGCTTCGTGCTGGCGCCGCTCGTTGCCTACCTCGTCATCGGCACGTTCTTCCTCGTCGCCGGCTTCGTGAGCCTCTTCCGCATCCGCACGATCATGAAGCACGACGGCACGAAGACGGACAAGCTCGAGAAGCTGATGATGCGCATCGGCATCTTCTCGATCATGTACTTTGTGCCAGCGGTCGTCGTCGTCGCCTGCCTCTTCTACGAGGAGCGCCACCACGAGCTGTGGACGCTGAGCTGGTGGAACCGCATCTGCCGGCCGGGCTCGGGCTACGACATCCCCTGCCTGAGCCCGTACACGTACGTGCTGCCGCAGTATCGCCCCAACCTGTGGGTGTTCCTCGTCAAGTACACTATGTCGCTCGTCGTCGGCATCACGAGCGGCGTCTGGATCTGGTCGGGAAAGACGCTGCAGTCGTGGTCCAACTTCTACCGCAAGATCTCCGGTTCGGCGCGCCCCGACGAGACCGTCGTGTGAGCGCGCGTAGGGGGCGCCGGCGTGCACCCTCGCCGAGCGTGACTTGTACAGAGCACCGTGAGCTCATGCGCGAGCGACGAGGATGTCGTGCGAGTGTAGGGGCGCCGGCGTGCACCCTCGCCAAGCGTGACTTTTATATGTACAGCAGACTGTGAACTCGCGTGCGAGGGTTGAGGCAGTCGTATGAGCGTAGGGGGCGCCGGCGGGCACGCTTGATGGGTGTGACTTGTACAGCAGACTGCGAGTATGTGGACTTGCACGTGAGGGACAGAGTGACAGTGGTGCGTGCGCCTGCGCGCAATGATTTTTGCACACGGATGGGACTGTGTCGTGGATGGACATACGGTCCGTCCGTCATTATTATTAGAATATATATATATATACATACATGTATACGTGCTTAAACACTTAACGTAGCAACACCGAATGTAAACTTTATCAGGAGTTATCGGACATCACAGCGCAGCGCAGCAAGAGGCTGCAGTAACAACCACCTCAGTAACCATGGCAACAGTGCGAGGAATGCTGCAGTTAACCACCTCAGTAACCACGGCAACAGTGCGAGGAATGAGCACTGCAGTTAACCACCTTAGTAACCACGGCAACAGTGTGAGGAAGGCTGCCGCTATGTATAACAGCCTCGGTAACGACGACGATTTCACGAGGACATGGAGGGAGTGGATTTGTTGCTGGATAAGTCGTGCGGCGTGTTCACGGGATGGATCCCACAGGCATAAGCTGGCTTCCTTGAGCGCTGACGTCTAACCAAGCGGAATCACAGGATAGAGGGTAGGTTTGCGTAATGATCCAGGGTTTCTTAAATACATATAAGGCACAGTGGCGCACTGCCATTGTCAAATTTAACGTTGCTGTTGTGAAAATGTTCCTGTATTTACCTGCCGTTGTCAAAATAGTGTCAACATGAAATTGAAAATAAATAGATCACCACGTGCTTCTGGCATATTTAGATGGCAATGTGCGTCAGCGTGCGTGCCTACAGCACGCCTTTGAATCCATCAATGATCATGCGCGTTTTTTCCCCAAACTGGCCATTACCTCCTTTGTCTAATTTTCCCTCAGAAGAAACAGTGTAATCACAAGGTCATAGTTACACTAGCTTGATGCAGGGTGACGGTGAGATCTAGATGTAGCCTCCTCGCTCACTCTACATGAGCTACATGTAGCAGTCCTGAGCCAAGGGGCTACACGGTTGGACTAGGCGATGGATGGGTAGCTCGGTTAGACTGTGTAGTGATGTATTGTGAGGTGCAAACATCGCAAATGTTTTGTCTTGTAGCCATCTTGGGCTGGGTTGCGCTGGTTGTTTGGTGAAGATTCTAGGTTTAAGCAAGTTTTTCTGAACGGGGTCGGACAGATGACACGATCGAACCATAGAAAGCAAGAGAGTGAGCGAGACAGAGAGAGGAGAGAGAGAGAGAGAGAGAGAGAGAGAGAGAGAGAGAGCGCGAGAGCGAGAGCGAGAGAGAGAGAGAGAGCGGCGGGCAGCAGTCTGGGTGCGTGGCCTCGGGTTCTCGCTGCGCAATTAAAGTGTTGAATAAAGCACTCGTAGGTTCATCCAGGCATGACTCTCATTTGGTACAACCAGCGTCTAAGCTGCTGCCCAGATCGACTGTGACTGTATTACCTAATTCATGCTTAGAGTGAATAATGGGTTGGATCAGGATTACGGTTGTCTGGTCCACCTCAGGGTAATAATATCTGAGCTTAGGTAGTTAGCCACATTATATTGTAACTGCACAGTTACGAACTGGTGCATACTAAATACTAAAAAGTAAAAGGGCGGGAGAGAGTGGAAGAGAGGGGGAGAGGGGAGGAGGAAGAGTGGGTGGGTAGGTAGGGTGAGCAAGATAGAGAAAAAAGAGAGAGAGAGAGAGAGAGACAGAGAGAGAGAGAGAGAGAGAGAAAGTCAGATAGATATGTCAAGAGTGGAAAGCAAGCAAAATGTAACCAGGAGAGAGGCAGGAGTAGATGCAAATGTCCACATACGTGTCAATTACATAAATCAGTAATAAATAATTTACCTCAGCACTGGTTCATGGACTTACATGAGCATATAAGGCAGGAGGGAAGACGGCAGTTTCCCTAACAACAGATCGTTTTCACTTTTCACGCGTGACATGATACGCATTGTGTCCACGTAACCCTTGAATGTTGGAATCCATCCCCCCCCCCCACACACACACACACACATCACCTCACCACTGGTGGGAGAGCCAGAGTTGAGACTCGTTGCGGTTGCATAGATCGATGGCTGATTATGTTGACAGAGTTCCCTCTGCTGCTGCTGCTGCTGCTGCTGCTGCTACTAGTACTACTGTTGCTGCTGCTTTTCTCTTCATGCAAATAATGTTAGTAATGGATACTACGTCTAGATACAAACTTTCGAGAGGCTGGCCGCTTAATTCAATCGTTGCCAAACCCTTGGTCATGCAAGCCCATTCAGGCATGAATAACAGCTCACGGCAACCTGACCAGTGGAACATTAACTGTATTATGGGCGTGCGTGTGCATTCGTGCGTGCGCGCCTGCACATACATGTGCGTGCGTGATGTGTAGACTGTATATAGGAGAGATCGAGGGTGTAGGGAGGGAGAGAGAGTGAGAGTCGAGTGGTGTAGTTGAGTGTTTGAGTAGGTAGGAAATGAGAAAAGAAGGCATGGGAATCAGAATGTAGGGAGTAAGGCAGGAGGAAAAGGCAGACACATGCAGATGCCCGATACTGACATTGACTGAGCACTGTTCCCCTGAGCACATCAATAGTCTGTCTGTGTGAGGCAGACAGTTCATACAATCGGGCTTGTTAGCTAATGGCACAGCCTGACTGAGTGTGTGCTCTCACTACAACGTACAGTAAGTAACACGCGCTTTAGATCTGGTTTGCTCGGGCAGATCAAGTTGTTCTCCCCCTTGCTGCCTGCCTGCCTGCCTGTGTGCCTGCTTGCTTGCCTGCTCACAGCTATGCGTTGAGCGCGGCCGTGGAGCAGCAGTTAATGCAGACCGATGGGCCTCGGGCACTGATTCAGCTGGTGACAGCTTTCTGGGCAGGGATTTATGATTGCATTAACTATTTATAAAGAAGGAGTAGAAAAATGCGCGTGTAAATTGATTTAGCTGGTGTGCTGTCATGAATTAAACATAGCCGCCCGACGTAACGTTCCCAACTTTCTTCTCACAGGTTCCGCTTGTGGTCACAGATGCCGACATCCTGCTGCCAAGAAGAGAGAGAGAGAAGTCGAGAGAGAGAGTGAAAAAGAGAGAGCGAGAGCAACGGAGGGACAGACTGAGGGAGCTAGAAAAAAAGGGAGAGGAGCGCAGGGAGACATAGAGGGAGCGATAGACCGATGCAGGACTGGATCAGACAGAGGCTTCACAGCAGCTCGCAGGCGTGTGTCCACACACACACACACACACACATACACACACGCACGCGCACACACACAAACACACACACACACGCACACACGCACACAGGCACACACACACATACATCATCCGCCGCGCGACGGAAGCCATCAGATTGCGCCTCGTGTACACTTGCTTAATGTACCTCGCTGGGCGCAAGGAATTGGGGCATGCGCCTCGTGGCATATCTCTCACATTCATGACTCAATCTCAAATTCATGAGCGCACGCGAGCGGCGACGGCGACGACGCGAGTGGTTGCCGGGGGCGACGAGCAGCCGGCAGCGAGAGAGTGATCGGTATGGGCAGAAGATGCAATGGCTTGATTCTATCAATGACAGTGCCCCCTGGTGTATAACACTCGTCATATACTGGTCTGAGCAGGGTCCGGCTCTGCTGCATCAAGCAATAACAGTGACCTTTGAAACGAACACAAGAAAAATACGTGAATATGCTTGCACTGAAAGCGGAATTAAAAAACTGAAACTGTAGCATCATATACAACAAATATGTACGGTGCCTCTTACAGTGATTGTGTCACTATAGGTATGTAACCTCTTATGCCGGCTGACCTGACGTATAAGCAGGTGTGCTGGAGAATGCAATGTCAGGTACCGTACTATCTGTGCTTCATGGTGTCTGCCTGTTAGGTAAAACACGTTATACTACATAGTATTTACCTGCCAGGTAAATTACCCTGTACTATAGTAATTGTTTGTCACTGTCAGATAGGCTACCCTGTGCTACAGTACTTACCTACCAGTTGTAATACCCTGTCTAACAATATTTACCTGTCAGGCAATATATACTCTGAGCTACAGTACTTACGTCCTAGGTTAAAGATACCCTGGTACTATAGTCTATAGAGGTGTTCTCATGTATCCGCGTTTTGTGCGACTGCTGATTTTACCTGCCCATAAGTCTTGCCCACTGACAGTGTAATCACTGTAGCCGGGTAGCTGACCCCTCCTGTTGGCCTTCTTCTCCCACTTCTCCAACGTATAGGCTGCCTGTAGCAGCAGGATGAATTGGTTAGCCCGATATGAAACGCCAAATCCGTTCCAGATCCCAATATGGCCTCCGCCTGTATGTTCGCCTGCCGTGCAACCGGCGGCCAGCGTTTGCGCTACTCTGTCCGACGACGCCGCGCGTCCCGCGCGTGGGCGTGCGCGGCGGGTCGTCGCCGGGCAGAGTAGGCGGACGCGGCGGCCGCCGGGCTGGTGTCGGCGCACGTGGTTGGCATTAGCGGCGACGCAGCTGCTGTTTCCACCGCCTTCGTCATTATCCATCATTTTGCGCGCTTTGCCGTTTGCTCGCTAGATGAGCGGATATGGATTTCACGTGCCGTGTGTAACTCCGCCTGCGCAGCACTTCTTTAGATATGTGCCGCTCTGCTGGGGGAGGGATCTGAGAGATCCGGGAGGATGGCATGGCCTGTCTAGTGATAGTGAGGTGTGTGATGAGAGAGAGAGGGAGAGAGAGAGAGAGAGGGAGAGTGGCGGGCTGATTTTAACAACGGAGCAGATGTCGTTTGATTGATTTTTGTGTATTTTGTCTGCAGCCGCGTGCTATACGAACAGAACCACAGGCACTTGGGACACCTTTATATATTATTATCATGGCGACACAGCACACTCGCAGCGGCGAGTGCGGGAGCGTTCGGCGTTAGTTTTTATGAAGGAAAGTTGATATACAGTGACACAACAGTGGAACTGTAATTGAGAGGTACGGTAGTAGGGCCTATTTGTGAATGCGCGTTCATATTATTTTCAGTTTTTACTGACTGTCCCAAGTGCCTGTGAACAGAACTGTGTTGGGTAGTTTGCCGTTTGTTGGCCGTGTTCTTAAAGGCCTCCAGTTAACACACTTGTGTGTATGTTTAGCCTGGCAATACCAGTCAATGACCAAGTGAAAGATTATCAAGTTCAATGATGATATGTCGTGTAATTGGAATATATATATATATATATATATATAATATATAGTATATAAATACAAGTTACACCTATATCATATATAGTATATATATTTATAATTATAATATGTGTTTTGAAGAGGTGTTGATTAAGGCGCTGCATGGTGGCTGTAGATGGATTGCCTATTTTGTGTTGTTTTAAGCAGGCGTATGTTTATCATTTGTTACTCGTCGCGCATTTATTACTGTCCCTTATTATAATTCAAGTTTCTGTCGTTCAGTTTTTACTTTTGCCAAAGCGCATTCATTTGTGCATAGCGTTTCGTGAATTGTTTGCGTACGTGTGTGCGCGCGTGCGTGTATGTTCGCGTACTTTTACTATTGTAAATACCCTCCGTATGATATGCAAGGTTTACCATTAAAATTGATCATTTTAAATCGAACACTCGTTTTCAACTCGATCCGTCATTGTCTTGTGCCGACACATGACTGCCGCTAGTGTCGCAGCGCGGGAGTTGCGTGTAAATTCACGGCCTGGGGGTAGCTCGTGAAATCGAGAGAATTAACTTGATTTGCATAAACAAATCGATCAAGTAAACGCCTACATTGAAATGTCACTCACTCGAAGATTACCCGCGCGTGCAGCTATACATCACATACACAGCGCAGCGCAGCACGTTTATCGTATGTAACTACATATCTGTAATTACCAGACACTCACAAGCTCCACAGACGACGTAAACTTTTGTTTCAACGTGTCTGACAACGCGATAGTCGATTATTGGTGGTTTTGCCTCGTGGCATTCCATCACATGATATCTCTCTCATTGCCTAGTTACTAACTAGTATGTATATGTACTTAATGTCTTGGCCACGGTTGGCTTACCTCTCTCCTTCCCCTCTCCTTCCCCAGCCTCGATTCCTCGCTTCTACTTAGGGGGGGGGGGGCTGGCAGCTAAGGGGTCGCAGCGATGTGCGCTCTACTATATATCAAGAGTACATAATAGAGATCTAATATAAATCTATCTAATAATAATAATCTATAATCTAATAATCTATCTAATAATAATCTCTATTATGTACTCTTGCTATATATCTTCCCGCGTGGAATGTGCTCGCTCACCGTACAGTTGTCTTCCGCTAATGCTTACCCGTCTACCTAGCTATAGTACTGTAGCCCGCGTTCATTAACTGCCGACGCCCTGCGGCAGTTAATGAACGCGGTCTATAGTACTAGAGCTACTGTCTACCTTGCCCCCACCACCCTTCTTCTCCATCTACTTTTTTCCTCTCCCATCGTTGTCTCGCTGTACCTCCTTCGTGTTTAGATGGGCTGCCAGCCCGCCTCTACTATATATCATAGCGCGTAGAATGCGCTCGCTCACCGTACAGTAATCGCTTCTATAACACAGCGGGCCGTAACTCAACACCGGATTGACGCACCGACACATTTCACTGCCAGCTTTTAGCCCGTGGGCCAACCGAAGACCAGTGCTAGCCGAGAGACCGGTAAAGGGAGATAAAGAGCGAGAGAGAGAGAGAGAGAGAGAGAGAGAGAGAGAGAGAGAGAGAGAGAGAGAGAGAGAGAGAGAAGAGAGCCTGGTCTGTACAGTGGTCTATTTGGGGGTCTGAATACACAGGTCCGTGTGTGTGTGTGTATGAGTGCGGACTACTGTTCCTCGGTCTCAGCTTAATCCAATGACGTCGACATTGTCATGGAAATCGGCAAGATGGCTGACTAGATTAAGCCGCGCGGTCCTGAAACACTTTATCTCACACAGCGCGGTGGCATTGTGTAGCCACGGAACAACACGCCGCATAGACGCGAGCCGCAACTATACTGCCGCTTCTAGCCTCGCCCGCGAGAGACGCTGACAGAACAGATGATGAGATCACAAGCTGACGCCTAAAGTGTTTACAAAGGCGCCGGAGCTCTGCTGCTGTCAAGCGCCTAGGTTCTGCGTGGGTCGACAACAGTCACAACACATCTCTTATATCTGCTGCTGCTGCTGCTGCGGCTGCTGCTGCGGCGGCGGCGGCGGCGGCGGCGGGCAAGGGGAGATCGAGCTACCACTGACAAGAGTAGATACCAGGTGGGACTCGGGAAGACAAACAGAGGAGCAGTATGAAAAGGGGAGACAGTCGTAGGCCTACAGCTAGCGTAGTAGACGCAGGTAGAATTATCAGAGATAACAGGCAGGGCAGCCATAATTATGGTAGTTCAGAAGACAGTACAGCCCCATACCAGTATAGTTTAGAGCTATAGAGTAGAGTAGACAGGATGATATCTAAGGTTTAGTGGACGGGCGAAGAGCTAGACATAGAGCGTTATGATGTCGTATTCGCATAATCTCCTGCCGTTAAAACATGGATGTTACAGCGATCAAATCACGTCGATGATTAATGCGTGGTAATAGTGTGGCTCCGTTCATCCTCGCTTGAGCCGCAGCTAAGAATCCTAAGATGCTATGCCATTCATTACTGCCTTGCTAAGTAGGGGCCTACATACGCCAGTGACGTCAGCCGAGCGAGTATTGCTCTCCTCCCCTGCTCCGCCTCCCGTAATGCTGTTACATTCAGCGATTGTCGAGTACACATTAATATTATGATAACGACATAATTCGACTTCATGTGATTATACGATTATTAAGCTCTTTTAGTCAACAGCAAGAGCGTGACAAGTAATATGTTATAGTGGCTGACAACCAGCAGAAAAATACAAGCACATGCGGACTGAATCAAGGGAGAAGAGAGGGCGCGTGCGAAAGAGAGAGAGAGAGAGAGAGAGAGAGAGAGAGAGAGAGAGAGAGAGGAAGGGAGAAAGAGAGAGAAAGAGAGTGAGAAAGGAAGGGAGAAAGAGAGAGAGAGAGAGAGAGAAAGAGAGAGAGAGAGAGAGAGAGAGAGAGACAGACAGGGGAAGAGAGGGCGAGAAAGAGTGAGAGAGGGTGAGAAAGAGTGAGAGAGGGAGAAAGAGAGATAGAGAGAGGGAGAAAGAGAGCAGAGATCGCCATAATTTGTGAGGGGCATGAACAGGTGGGTAACTAGGACGTTTGTGCCGATCAGTGAGTTAGACGTTACACTCATGACGGAGTCAGCACGGAGCTCAACGCATGACGCTGCTTTTATATCGGCGGCTCAAGACGCTGGTGTGAGGATAACCTAGATTCTAGCGGCGGACCGACAGAGTTGCCCGCTTAAAATTAGAACGCTAATCGTTTGATGTGTTGCTTTTTTGTTCGGCAAGTTCTTGGGCCGCGTTCAGGTGATTCCCACGTGAATGGATTGCAAGAATACTCGGTACAATAATACCATTACCGCCGGGCGATTGGTGGCGAGCAAACAACGCTCGGGATTTGTCCGCGCGAGTGTTTCGTCTTGCTCGTGAGTGTAGTATACAACAATTAAAGGTAGAGTAGAAAGTGCAGCTTTGGTAGTATGGGGTCAGCATCCGACACAGTGTCTGCAGTTACCTGTGAGATGAAATCTCACGTGTACAGCAGCTATAGGCAAGTATTTGGATGAGATGGGATGAAATATCAGGTCAGACACTTAAGGTTTACCTATAGTGAGATGTATTATTAAACTAGACGTGTATGATTTTTTCTCAGATTAGATAAAAGGTTACATGTATACGTTTATTTCTATTCACTACTGATATAATATATACGTTTGATGAGATAAAGTAACACAAGACATCTAAAATCTACCTGTGCGACAACATGGATTATTATATGGTAGCGCATTTTGCTTGAATCTGATTGGCCAATATGGGATTTAGAGGTCCGTTCCTCATGCCGCGTTGACCGCGCGTGTCAAACGAGTACACCTCGCGTGAAGAAAATGGGTGTGTGAGCGCTGGCCAATCGTCACAGGTCGATAATTGTATATTAGAGCATCTAAGCCTTACCCAAACAACAAGAGTATAATTACATTATACATGTAACACTGATCAGAGAGCATGGAACTATTTGCTTGTAAGATTTCGTATGAGATTAGATTGCAATCTGCAATTATACTTCATGTGCTTGTCGATGGCCTGACTCGCACTAAGTCTTCACTCAGCACACAGGTCGCAGCGTCCAGCCTCATTAATGCATCATCCAGTCTCACTCATGCAGCAGCCAGCCTCACTCATGCATCCTCCATCAGTCAGACTCACTCATGCAGCATCCAGTCTCACTCATGTAGCATCTAGCCTCACTCCTGCAGCATCCAGCCTCACTCATGCAGCATCCAGTTTCACTCATGTAGCATCCAGCCTCACTCATGCAGCATCCAGTCTCACTCATGCAGCAGCCAGCCTCACTCATGTAGCATCCAGCATCCATCATGCAGCAGCCAGCCTCACTCATGCAGCAGCCAGCCTCACTCATGCAGCATCCAGCATCCATCATGCAGCCTCCAGCATCCAGCCTCACTCATGCAGCAGCCAGCCTCACTCATGAAGCATCCAGCATTTAGCCTCACTCATGCAGCCTCCAGCATCCAGCCTCACTCATGCAGCAGCCAGCTTCTCTCATGCAGCTTCCAGCATTCAGCCTCACTCATGCAGCCTCCAGCATCCATCATGCAGCCTCCAGCATCCATCCTCACTCATG